TAACGCGGAAAAACACACATAATAGTACAATTGGTTAGAGGGCTGTAAAACGGCAGCCATCTTCCCGGCGCTGTTCTTCTACATACACAGCCAGTCTTATTCAACTGGCTGTGTCCCACCCTTAATCTTGTAAAATAGCCTCCTCTCTTCTGTCCCTTCCTGCCGTCCTCCCCTTTCCTCTGTACTTGAAATAAATGCCTTCCCTTATTATCTCTATTCCACTGCTCCTGCCATGTCTGCACCATCACTGTATATATCAGTCTTTTTGCCTCTGCCTTGCTCAATGACACTTCAACATCAACATCCCCACTACTAAGTGCTTGTTTAGCCTATTCATCTACTGCCTCGTTCCCCTCCACCCCCACACGGGCTGGGACCCAAGTAAATCTTATCTGAATACCCATCTGCTTAATCCTGTCATGGGTTTGTAGCACCTCATAAAGCAGGTCTTGTCTGCTACGTGAGCTAAAGGACTGGAGACTCATTAACACTGCACATGAATCAGAGCAAATAACTACTCTGTCTGACTTAACTTCCTCCACCCACTGCAAGGCCAACAGTATGGCCATCAGCTCCGCTGTATATACAGCCAGATGATCTGTAATACGTTTCCTGACTTCCACCCCACATTCCTGCACTACAAATGCTGACCCAGTACGTCCTGTCCTTGGATCTGTGTAAATGGCCACAAAATCCTGATACACAGTTTCCAGACGTCTCTTAAAGAAATCAGCTGGATCAACACCCTCCCTATCTTTCTGTAGTCTCTCCAACACTTCTAGATCAACTACTGGAGGCAGGAGTAGCCATGGTTGATTTACAGGAATAACTACTGTTGGACTAAACTCCCTTCCATACAGTCCCATCTCCTTTGCCTGGGTATTACCCACCCACCCAAAGCTTGTGTTCTGTCTTCGCTCATGTTCCCAGCATGCCTGTAAAATCCCTTTCGCAGGATGAGACACCCCATGTCCTTGTAGGTTGACCCAATAATTCATTGCCAGTTGCTGTCTCCTAATCTGCAACGGCATATCCCCCATCTCCACCTGTAATGCAGCCACTGGGGACGTCCGAAACGCCCCACTACATATTCTGAGTCCTTGCCCCTGTATGACATCTAGCCATTCCAGTGAGGTCCGGGCTGCCGAAACCATATGCAATACTGCCATAGTCTATTACAGATCGGATCAATGCAACATACATGGTCTTCAATGAGGAACGCCCAGCCCCCCACTCCTTCCCCGTCAGACAGCGCATCACATTTAGCACCTTCTTACACTTTCCCACTATTTTCTCAATGTGTTCTGCCCAGGTCAGTCTAGTGTCAAAGTATACCCCAAGGAACCTGAATGCCCCCACCCTCTCCAAGTTTCTCCCATATAACCTCAAGCATACCTCATCTCCCACCTTCCTCCTGGTAAAGAACACTGTTTGAGTTTTCTCTACAGAGAACCTGAATCCCCACATTAATGCCCCACCATCAATTGCTTCCTGTACCTTCCTGACTATGTATGGCACATTTCTTCCCCTCTTCCATAAGGCACCATCATCTGTAAATAACGACCTCCCTATACCCGGCTGTACCTGAGAGTAAACATCATTGATCATGATTGAGAACAACAGAGGACTAATCATGCTCCCCTGCGGTGTACCATTATCCACCAAGTAGCTGCCTGATAAAGACTTCCCCACCCTCACCTGGATAGACCTTCCAAACAGGAAATCCTTTATCCAGTTGTACATTCTTCCTCCTACCCCCATAATATCAAGCTTGATTAACAACCCCTCCTTCCACATCATATCATACGCCTTCTCCACATCAAAAAAGACAGCTAGAACAGTCTCCCTGTTCACCTGAGCCTTCCTGACCTCTGCTTCTAAGCAGAGCACTGGATCCATATCTCCCCTACCCTTCCTGAACCCACTCTGATGTGCCGATACTAGCCTTCTGCTCTCCAGGAAGTAAGTTAGCCTCTCCGTAATCATACGTTCCATAATCTTACATACATGTGATGTTAAAGCTATTGGCTGATAGCGTGTTGGCTTCGTTGGATCCTTCCCGGGCTTCCGGATTGGTACCACTACTGCCTCCTTCCAACTGCCTGGTAGTTTCCCCTCCTCCCACACTCTGTTGTACACCAACACCTTATCCAGTACCTCATCACTAAGATGGGCCAACATAACATAGCACACCTCATCTTTCCCAGGTGAAGTTAACCCAGCCTTACCTATTGCTCTTTTCACCTCTGCCCTGGTTAAATGGTGTATTCAACGCATCATTTACATCCTCCCTCCTATCCAGCACTCCAGGATGCTCCTCTCTCGTGTTCTATTTCCCCCTCTGCCCCTCCTCTGACAGATTTGCGGAGCTATGCACTTGGACAAATGCTTTGGCCATCATCTCTGCTTTCTCCTCATCTGTTACTGCCACATCCTCCCCACTCGTCAACACTGGATAATCCCACTCTATTCTGACCCCACTCATCCTCTTAATCATCCCCCACACTTCTCCCACAGGTGTCGCCCTTCCAATGGTGTCACAGAACCGATGCCAACATGGACCTCTTTGCCTGACGGATAGTTCTTCTCACCATGGCCTGGGCCTGCTTATACTGAATCAGATGTTGGAAGTTATGCGTCCTTTTCAGTACTCTAAATGCCCTGTTCCTACTCCTCACCATTGCCCCACATTCCTCCGTCCACCATGGGACTGCTTTCCTCCTCCTCCTCCCTGAACTCTTAGGTATAGCCTCAGTAGCTGCCCCCACTAACTGTTCTCACCCAGTTATTCATACTATCCACATCGCCTCTCATATCCACCCGAGCCATCACCTGCTCACTCAGTTTCTGAAACTGATCCCACTTTGCCCTTCCAAACACCCACCTGCCAACTTCATCCACTGACACCTCCTCCTCCCTCCGGCCTACTGTGCATACTATGGGGTAATGATCACTCCCTACTGTCGACTCCTCCCATACCGCCCACTCACATATTCCTGCCATCGCACTAGATACCAGAGTGAGGTCCAAGGCAGACTCTTTCCCTGTGGCTACATCAATCCTGGTCCCTCGGCCATCATTCAGGCACACCAGATCTTTATTTTCTATCAAATTTTCCATCACTTGGCCAGTTCCATCCATCCGTTTCCCCCCAAAGCGTGTTGTGGGCATTAAAATCCCCACACCACATTACCTTACTTCTTTCCTGGCCCTCCACCCTGTCCAGCATTTCTATGTCCAATATCTGACACGGATTATAGTAGTTCACTACCACTAGCACCCCTCCTCTAAACCACACCTCCACCACCACATACTCCTGTTCAATACCTTTGCCTATCATCTTGTAGGGAATTCCTTGCTTTATGAAGGTGCCACATCCTCCTCCCCCTATATCTCGGTCCCTACGAATAGACGTGCTATCTACCCTAACTCCACCCCTTGTTGCTTGCAATGTTTGTACATTCACTAGAACGCCTCCTCTCAAAGGTCCCTTACCTCTTTAGTGCTAACACTCACAGGCCCTCCTGTTATCACCCCTTTAATCCACTGCTTCCCTGCTTGATCAGTCCAGCTGCTCGACACCACCTTACACTTCCCTATTTGCTTCACTCCGATAGCTTTTTCCCTCTACATAAGGAACGTGTGTTGGGCTCTCCTGATTTGAAAAGTTTGAAGTGTCGTGTGTGTCTCTTCGGCACCAGGGCACCAGTCAAGGGGGTAATATCTGGCATCTCGTGGGAAGTTGATATTAAAGAGATGAAAAATATTCCTGGAGTGATTGATGCACGTCGGATGAATCGAGTGGTGAATGATGAAAAGGTTTATCTGTTCTTTTGTTTTTTGATATGGAGTCCCTACTCTCCCTACTCAAGTGCAGTTGGGGTATATAAACTACAAAGTCAGAGCATTTATCCCAAGACCAATGCAGTGTGATCACTGTAAAGCTTTTGGTCAAGTGTCAAGGGTTTGCAGAAGGGAGAAACCGAGATGTCCAAGTTGTGGAAAATATAATTTAATGTGTTATTAAATTGATGAAAAAGTAAAATGTTGCAATTGTGGTGGGAACCATGAAGCCACGTTTTTTGAATGCCCCACAAGGGTGAAAGAAAATGAGGTGGCCAAAGTTAGGGTTGTACAGAGCATTTCATATGCAGCAGCGGTTAAAAGGGTTGAGGGTTTGAATGGTGCTCCTGAAGAGTCCATGGTGGTGGATAGGCCTTCAATGCAAGCTGCAGGGGTTGCCTTTCACCAAGATGATCCTGACATTTTTAAAGGTTAAAAAGGTGGATTTTGTGGCCTTTATCGCAATGATGATTAATGGCACTGCCAAGGTGGAGAAAAGATCTAGGAAGATAGAAATCATTGTGGTTGCGGCGGAACGCTTCCTGGGGCTCAAAGATTTCTCGACAAAACAGTTGGAATATTGTCAAAAGCCGTACCACCATCTCAGGCCCTAGAGACTGAGAAAGGAGATATGGAGATTTAAAAGAAGGAAGAAATGGGAGTTTTGTTTTGTCAATGTACTATTTTATTTGGGTGGATTTAGTTCGTTTCCCTATTATGTATGGTTTTTCTTTTGTTACATGGAATATTGGCAAAAGCCGTATCACTCTCTCAGGTCCTAGAGCCGGAGAAGGGAGATATGGAGAACTAAAAGTATGAAGAAATGGGAGTTTTGTTTGTTTTGGAAATGTACAATTTTTATTAGGGTGGAGTAAGTTAGTATCACTATTAAGTATGGATTTATTTTTTATTTTAAATATTTTGTGGTTTCAAAACGTCCAGTTGGTGGCGGCAATTCAACTTTTGGATGTAGTCCGCCATAAAACCCACAGAAGAAGAATACGTTTTCTGATGACGACCTACTGTGCGACAACGAAAAAGCTACATTTGGAATGGCCAGTCTGACAGGGAATATTTTGCCAATTTGTTAGGGTCTTAGATGGTAATTTTCGATTAAAAACAATAGTTAGCTAATGTGTGTGTGAAGTATTACATGCATGAGACTGGTAAGCTTTACTTTCCCGTAGTACGTGCGTATATTTGAACATTAGTTAGCTAGTAGTTACAACCAGGCTAGCCAGGCAGCATTGTCGAAGACACTCAGCATTCAGTTTACAACAGAAGCAAAAACACACGACCAATGTCCAGCGACACTTTCAAAGATTTGACACGGTCCCGGGAGAACAATGTTGTCACTGAGAATAAGGATGTATATATCGGTAATAACGGAGAAACAGAGACTCTCTCAAAAAACCAGAGGAAGAAGCTTATGAGGCACCAGAAATGGGAGGAGGAGAGGAACCTTCGCAAGTAAGTAACGTTAGCTAGCTAGTTTGCCTGGAAATTTGCGTTTGAATCAGAAAGGTTTCCTCTCACGACCTCTACAAACCAGAATCTTTAATAAAATGATATTTTAACTTACTTTATTGGTTGTCTGTGCGGTTGGTCATTTGCAGGTAGGCATGTGAGACAATATATCCACAGGAAAGTATAATTAAATCAACTTTTCAAAGCAACAGTAGTGGGTTCAGATTTCTATCACCTGAAGAATGCACACAAGATGAAAGTACATGCACGCCATGCATTTATACCTCAGTGATGCATACTTGCTGAGCTCCTGCACATATTTACATGGTCCTGTTCATGCTTCAGGTGATAGAAATCTGAATTCACTACCAGCGCTGTGATAAGGTGATTTAATTATACTTTCCTGTGGATATATTGTCTCGCATTCCTACTGTCAAAAGGACCAACAGTTGTAACAACTGGTAGAGTATGTTTAAATGTCATTTTATTCAGCATGCTGGCTTGTAGAGGTTGTGAGAGGAAACTTTATTGGCAAGTAGCTAGTTAACTAGCTAGGTATACTGTGTTTCACATTAAGTTATGTTTTCAATTTCAAATGCCCTCTGTATTCACTTAGGCTACTTCTTAGTGATTATGTACATATTGGGCTATTATTAACTCAGCAGTATGACATCATCATACTACTTCCTGCTTACAAACTACAACAACAACAACATAATTCAAATCTACCAAGATTGCCACTATTGACTTATGGCAAGTTGTGCCTTGAAACATGCCCAAATGACAAATTGGAATGTTGTTGTTGATATCCATAAGCAGAAAGCACCATTTTGTGTATGATGATCATGTATTGTCTTTCCTTTTTAAGTTCAGTTTGACTAACTTTGTACATGGTGCGTTCTTCACAGGCAGAAGCGGAAGGAGAAGAGGCAGAAGAGGAGCCTTGAGAGGAAGACCCAGGGGGAGGAGGGAGGGGAGTTTGTGGCTGGCCGGAAGCGTTTGAGGAAAGAGGTGAAGCCCAGCAGCTCCCTGAGACTGGTGATAGACTGCAGCTTCGACAACCTCATGATGTTTAAGGTACGTAGGCTGTCAGGGCCCCCATGGTCAGTAGGGCACAACGTAGTGGAATGTTCAGATATAAATATATTGTGTAGAACAACATTCATCTCAGACATGTAGAGTAACGAATCACGTCAGTTCTATTCATGGCATTTCCGTCTGACTGCAATGTTCCGTGTAAATACAAGATGGCACAGTATTGAAACCTGTGTTTCATGCTTTTTGTATTGTTTCCCCTGTGAAGGATGTTAGGAAGCTCCATAAGCAAATCCAGAGATGCTATGCAGTGAACAGACGAGCGGTGCACCCTGTTCAGGTGAGTCTACCTGCCCCACAGGACCCCCTGCATCATCTGTTGCAGAATCATCCATCATCCACCGCTGAACTCAAGTGATTCAAGACTCATTCATCTTAGTGCTGTATTTTCTCTCTTCATCTCCCAGTTTTATCTAACCAGCCTTGGTGGACAGCTGAAGCAAAACATGGATAAGACTGATGAAGGATGGGTTAACTGGAAGGTGAGTGTACCCAGTCTGTTAGTTTGGATATGCACTGCAAATGCCTGTTGAAATTACTAATGGAAATAGTTAGGGGGGGGGGGGGGGGTTCACAGATACACTGCACATGTTACACTGTTTTTCAGAAGATGGGGAAAGGACTTGAGGGGTATACATATAGATGGGGAGTAATGTATGCCTCAATGTCTCGTGGGGGTTTCCATATTTAAAGCTCTGGCAAAAGGTAGGCAAGATTCTTGTCTGGTGGAACAACATATCTTGTCAGTGTTTTGAGCTGGGTGCAACTGGATGCATTCACAAGTCAACACCTCTCCCAAACACTTGCCAACACTTTCCATCAGATGCCAACTATTATCATTTTTGTGGGGGATATTACCCTTTAAATACCCCACTACTCAGCGACGCAATCTGAGTGGTTCAAAAGGGCTGTAAGTGAAGAAGGAAGAGTAATGTGTCATTAGGCCGTGGGTCTTATGTAGGTGAGGAGGAAAGGTGGCAAATTACATTAACACCTGGTACCTTTTGTGTGTGTGTCTGTGTGTGTCCGGGGCAGGATATAACAGTGAAAACAGAAGCGTACCATGAGGTCGTGGCCAAGGAGGAGCTGGTGTACCTGACCTCTGACTCTCCCAACGTTCTGACGGAGCTGGACGATACCAAGGCCTACGTCATAGGAGGCCTGGTGGATCACAACCACCACAAGGTCAGGACTACAGAATGACCTAGAACATTTAGAAGATTCCTTTATGGTCTATTGTCACAGGACACCGAGATGAGTATTTTTTTAACTCAACATGTTGGGTATGTTAAGCAGCAAGTCAAGACAACCAATTCCAAATCGACCCCCTACCCCTAGACACTTCACCTACATCTGAGCCATTTAAATGGGAGCCCTCTTCAGGGTCCCATTTATGTCAGTCATTGGGGAGCATTATGTCTGACCTTTTACCTTGTCCTGTAGGGCATCACCTTTGAGCGGGCTCAGGAGCTGGGGATCAACCACGCACAGCTCCCACTGAACAGCTTCGTCAAGATGAACAGCCGCAAAGTGCTGGCGGTCAACCACGGTGAGGAACTATCCTAATGATTTACACCTCAAGATAGGACACCACCTCCATTTACTGTAGCCTGTTCATGTAGTTTGTAGCATTGACAGACTTATGAAATGTGAATAAAAGCATGAGTGGTATGTGATAGAATTAATGTGATAAGGGTTTTTCAATATTCATTTATGAATGTATAACCGTGTTTGTGTGTGTGCATGTTCCCTGCCACAGTGTTTGAGATCATGCTGGTGTACCTGGAGAAGGGGGACTGGCAGGAGGCCTTCTTTCACCGTCCTGCCTCTAAGGAAAGGGGCCATTCCCCTGGGCCAAGAGGGAACAGCCACGGAAGACAAGGAGGAAGAGGAGGAGGATTCTGACAGAGACTCAGACACAGCAGAGACAGTCACACATAACACCACGAACACACAGGACCAACAGGAGAAAGTACAGGGAGGACAGGACACGTTGCAGTTGAAAGAGGCCCCCAAAGAGCAGACTGCAGCATAGCCCCCAATGCTACCATGTTCTTCTGGGTCTTAATATAAATTGTTATCGGTTGCAAAGTGGTTGATTTAGTGAATTGCGAGTTTGAGTTCTGTATGTTTTGATTGCAGAATTATAGTCATTTTTAGTCTGTTTTGTTATCAGATTTATGCTTTATTTAATGGAAGATATTTGACTTGGAGTGCATATATTAAGTAAACAATTCACACGTTTGCTTGTTATACCTTCTGACCTGTTATTGGTGCTCTGCAGCAAGTCTTATTATGCTTTTCATTAAATGTAAAAACATTTTTACTTACACAGTCTGGTATTACTAGTATAAAATTGGGTCTCTGTATGTAAAATAACATAAAACTGTTAAACAATCTATGTGAAATTAAAGTTGCCTGGTAATTCATCCAAACATTGGAGCACTGTAAATGTAATGGGTAATTCTGCAGGAGAATCACTGCACCAGTAGTCTATAGTAGGGCCTAATGCGCTCTTGTGGCCAAGGAAAGATGATACATCTAAAATAATCTGGTTGAAACCGGAAGTTTCAGACACCATGGAAACACATGCTGACCTGTGCTGCTTCTGCTTGCACTGTTAGCTAAGTATACCTGGCCTGAGAAACTACGTTACTAGCTAACTGCATTAGCATCTAGCTAACATTAAATTAATAGAAAGCAATGAAAGTGGTAGTTGAATTACAGCTCAGGGTGGTAAGAATGTTTTGTTAATACAACTAGCTGCTTCCCAATATTTAACTTTTGTGAGGAGCGTTGTTTACAGTGTTGCATCTAGCTAACGTTACCTGGAAACTAGCCCGTCCATTTAGCACTAATGCCTTGGGTTCTCGAGAGCAACCTGGAAACTAAACTCAACTGTCTATGTTCCAACACATGCATATCTAGCAAGTTTGTAAGTTTTCATGCAAGATATGCATAACGATAATGACATTGTTGATATACTTGTGGGATCCATCCACAGTGTTTAATTTTACCGGACGTTATCATTTTGATTAGCCTTGAGTGTACTGTACTGGCACTACTGCCTCTGCGATGAGGCCAGGGCTTTTATGGCACAGGTGTTCATCATCATTGGAGAGTTATGGTTTAAGCTCCAATTTTGAACTTCCTTTTCAATTGCTACATTAGCAATGGTGAACATACATCCTAACTGTTCGCAAAGCCGATGTCTTGACACCATAACCAGTTATTCAATATAATGAGGTATTTCAGGTATCATGCCCTGGTGTGCATTTGCCAGCTAAGGATGACATCTACCTCAGTGTGTGCTTCATGGGCCAATACCGCAAGTTGGAGTGTCTCCCCCCTGTCTTTCCACTCCTGTTTCAAGAGAAGATGGCTCAATGTGACATGTCTCTTCCTGATCATTCTAAACCAAGGGTGGCCAACCAACTCTTCTGGAGAGCTATCAGGTGTGCATGCTTTTGTTCCAGCCCAGCTCTTGCACAGTAGATAATAACTACACAGCTGTTCATCAACAGGCTTGATTTGCTGACTCCGGTGGGTTTGAGCAGGGCTGGAACAAAAGCCTGTATGCCCTGTAGCGCTCTTGGATGCCAGGAGGTTTGGCACCATGCAGCTGTCCCATACACTAGTAACAGAAATCCTAAAATGTGTATGAACAAGATTTTCTAAATGAGATTTGTTCAGTTTCTCTTCACATTCAGGTGTTCCACTATGCTGTTGGCCCAGGAGATGTTGCACAGATGCTGGAATGTAAGTTCTATTATATATACCTATACCTGTAGACAAGCCTATTTGATTAATTTTGCTACTACAATGTTAGATATTGTATGCTCATATTCAACTACTTTTTGTTTGCTTCTTTTTCCCTAGGTGAAACCGTCAAAGTTGAATTGGTAAGTTACATTTACATTTTTACATTACATTTTAGTCATTTAGCAGACACTCTTATCCAGAGTGCATACATCATTTTTTTATTTTTCATACTGGCCCCCCGTGGGAATCAAACCCACAACCCTGGTGTTGCAAACGCCATGCTCTACCAACTGAGCTACATCCCTGCCAGCCATTCCCTCCCCTACCCTGGACGACGCTGGGCCAATTGTGCGCCGCCCCATGGGTCTCCCGGTCGTGGCCGGCTACGACAGAGCCTGGATTCGAACCAAAATGGCACAGCTAGCACTGCGATGCAGTGCCTTAGACCACTGGGCCACTCGGGTCTAAAATTTAGAAGACAAATTACAGCACCTTGGAAAATCAACTGTACCAATTCAACTTTTGACGGTTTCACCTAGGGAAAAAGAAGCAAACAAATTCGATTTAATGTTAAGAAATGTCCAACAACTGGCTAAGTGTTTTAACATGAATCAAACATGGTAGCCTAATACACAATAAGCAAGTTGATCATATATGACAATATGCCATTTACAAGCAACTTACAGTGAGTGCATACATTTTAGTATACTGGATGATCCCCAGCGAGAATTCAACCCATTGCTCTTGCATTGTGAGCGCTAAGTTCTTACCAACTGAGCCACAATGATTGACCACTGTGTGCTTTGCTGCAGTGGGGAAGGCCCTGGCCTGCTTTGAGTCGGACGCCAGAAGCTTCCTATTCCCAGAACCCAAACTGGTTCCTTCCTTCTCTGGATTGGCCAGAGAGGTTCTCATGACACGATCCATTAGCTTCCCTGTAAGTAGGAGCCTTTTACACCACAGAGCTTACATCATCACTATAGAGATCTAGGCTATAGTCCCGCTACAGTGAGATGTGTGAGACAGGGATGTTTCACTGAACACTAATTGATAGGTCACAGTAGGACAATACAGAGACAGTGTACCTGTACTGAGAGAATACAATAAAATGCCTTTATTTGTATGGCATGTTCAATAGAAACAAGATTTTTTTTTTAAATCCGACACGTTTCGGCTGCATGGCCTTCGTCAGGGAGTACAAAGAAATAATACAATGTCCTCTTTTGAACAGCTTTTCCAATTAGCCCTAATTTGAAGAGGGAGTGGTTACAAAGTTGATTGGACACACCTAGTAAGCAATACTATACACATTAACAAGTGAAATACTGTAACTATGATATCATACAAATACAACTCCAAGTTAGAAGTATCAGAACACTAACCTTAAATATGACTTGGAAAAGTGTCAAAAATAAGAAAGCAATATATTCCATAGTACACTAGAAACCAGCAAAACATGAACAACAACAGTCTAAACATAGCTGAGGGCAAATGAGCACAATGTCCACTAGATGACAGCAAATGGACCTATCACAACCCTACAGGAAGGGTGAGAAATCCATATCTTCATTTAAACCAGGGTATTTAGTGGCCTGTAGCTTGAATCTATAGATTGGAATGTCCACAGTGCAAGGTGTTCTACATTGGACGGACAAAGAGATGCCTTCAAGACCGCTTAGCGGAACACAAGTACACCATACGGGTAGGCAATGAACACTACCCCATGGCAAGGCACTACAAGTCCTTACACCATGGTAACCCTGCCTCCCTACAAGCTATGGGTACTGATCATATTCCGGCCTCTATTAGAAAAGGGGACCGTCTGAAACAGTTAAACCAAAGGGAACGTTTTTGGATTGACAAACTACAGGCCACTAAATACCCTGGTTTAAATGAAGATATGGATTTCTCACCCTTCCTGTAGGGTTGTGAAGGGTCCATTTGCTGTCATCTAGTGGACATTGTGCTCATTTGCCCTCAGCTATGTTTAGACTGTTGTTGTTCATGTTTTGCTGGTTTCTAGTGTACTATGGAATATATTGCTTTCTTATTTTTGACACTTTTCCAAGTCATATTTAAGGTTAGTGTTCTGATACTTCTAACTTGGAGTTGTATTTATATGATAACATAGTTACAGTATTTCACCTGTTAATGTGTATAGTATTGCTTACTAGGTGTGTCCAATCAACTTTGTAACCACTCCCTCTTCAAATTAGGGCTAATTGGAAAAGCTGTTAAAAAGAGGACATTGTATTATTTCTTTGTACTCCCTGACGAAGGCCATGCAGCCGAAACGCGTTGGATAAAAAAATATCTTGTTTCTATTGAACATGCCATACTAATAAAGGCATTTTAATTAATTATATGAAGAGTGCCTTGGTCCTCCTTTCTTTTTGATGACCAATTCACCCCTTTGACCAAAGAGCACCTTCTGTCTACCAACATTTACTATTGTGTACCTTAGTAGCGCTTCCCTTCCTCCTCTTTCTACTAGAATACAATTTATGTTGACGCATTAAGCTGCTCTTCTAACTAGTGGATTGGGCCACTACCCATTCAAGTCATCCACTCTCACATCTTCCCCAGGGTATTGCTCCAAGGTCAGAGTTCTCCACCAGAACAACATCAGTGAGTGCTCTGCAAACGCAGAGGTCAACCACACCCATCTCAGTTCTCCAGTGGTAATGTTTTCACTACATCATCAGCACTTCTATCACTCTCCATAGACTTTATTGTCCCGTACCCTAGCACAAGGTGTCTCTGGTCCAAGGTAGGAGCTGTATGCCTATATGCAGAATTTAATTTCAACCACTTATTCCCATTGGACCAAGGACCAAGATTGAAAAACACTGAGCTCAGAGGAGGCTGCTGGGAGGAGCTTTAGGAGGACAGGCTCATTGTAATGGCTGGAATAAATGGAATGGAGTCAAACATGTGGTTTCCGTAATAGTTTGCTATTTTCTTGTCTTCATTCGTTTGCTCACAGAGGACAGTGGTGCCAGAGAAACACACTAAAAGGTTCCGAAATGGGCATTGAGGAGGAGTTTGGAAATGGTGCCCGATGGGCACCAGCGAAGCCCAGGTCGCGCTCCCTCTCCCCGTACAAATCCAGCCAGATGGACGGTTGTCATGGAAACATGGGTTAACTGGCACAGCTCAGTTTGGGTTCAAGCTGGGATATAGATGAGGAGTTTTTATCCTGCCATGTGAGTATATTTGACTTCTAGTGGTGTGAGCTGTCATGATGACAAATGACAGTATGACATCTGCTATGTCATGCCAGCGAGTCAGCGACAAGTCACCAGGCTCAAGTGTTAAGTACATACATAGTTGTATTGATGTGTGTTTGTGTTATTTTATTTTGTTTGTGTGTGTGTGTGTGTGTGTGTGTGTGTGTGTGTGTGACATTACAGCCAGCAGGTGGCAGAGAATAGCTCACTGTTATTTGTAGTGATGAGGAATATTCCCAGATGCATTTTTATCCTCGGCCCTGCTCAGTCATGTAAATTAGTAATGATTTCCTGAACTGTACATAACACGCTGTTATTGAGATGATGACATTGTTGATAAAGGAAATAGGACATTGAACTCAACTAATAAACTAAGATTAGATAGTACTTTATCAATCCCCTAAAGACGAATTTTGATTGCACAAGCTAATACATACTACAACAACAAAAACAACAACAATAATAATTAGACAGTAAAACACAACAAAGGACACGCAGACAGTAAAAGCAGCACATCATCAATTCATGTAAAAGACTAGTGTCCACCTCTGGACACCAGTTCCAAATAAAACGAAACCATTCATTCCATTTGGCAAATAGGGTTATTTCAGGCTTTGGACTCCCAACTCAATCAAATTGGTTCATTTTATGTATACCCCTTCAAGTGACGTGTATCGGACTGATACTTAGTAGCATGTCATGGTTTTTTAACCATCTGCTTTGCTGTGTTCTCCTCCTGTCCCTAGAAGAGGGACCCTTGGCTCGGTACTGGCAACTCCCCCACACCTCCCCTGTCATGGCCAGACGCACCCTGACCAACGGCTCCTCTCCTCGTCTCCCACACTCCCCATCCTCTGACAATCTCCTGTACTTCCCCCCCCAGGTCCAAGCCAGCAATGTTCCCTGGCTAACAAAGGGGGGTCCCCCACCCCTACACCCATACCCATCCCTTCCATGCTTTGGGGCTCCTACATGGAAAGCTAGAGCCAAAATGGGTACGTCTAGCCTACTTGACTTAACGTAAGCCCTTGGCTCCTATAAGGAGGAATGTCCTCCATGTCACTTGGTTCGGGGCAAGTTTTTACCAGGTGGCACCAGTTGAGGCCTGGCCTGACCCTATCCTGATTCTTATCTCTATTTCTATGGCCAGGTCATGCCCAAGTTCCCAGGGCGGCAGGTAGCTTAGTGGGTAAAAGCGTTGTGCCAGTAACCGAAAGGTCGCTGGTTCTAATCCCCGAGCCGACTAGGTGAAAAACCTGTCGATGTGCCCTTAAGCAAGGCACTTAACCCTAATTGCTCCTGTAAGTCGCTCTGGATAAGAGCATCTGCTAAATGACTAAAATGTAAAAATTTAAAATGGAGGAGGTCCAACACCTATCACCCCAAGAGCAGTGCACAGACTCTCCCATGTGAGTAGCACGCACACCACTATCATCTGCAGTGGGTGGATAGGAATCCATATCAGTAATCACAAGAGCAATTGACCCCAATTCTACCTTGACAAGATTGTAACTTAAATTGGCCCAGTTACATTCTCAACATTGTTTTTTTTAGGCTATTTTTACTGTCATTGAGCTTGCCTGGCACAATGGAACCAATAGCATAGTTGTAAACCTGCAAACCCCACCCATCTGGCACTCCAGGCAGGCTAGAGCAAATGCTAAAAGTATAGCCTAGTATTTAAAACTCAGGTCTGCAGTCATGCCTGATCCCTAAACTTTGTTTGGAAGCCAATGTTCTGACAATGTCATAACTTGCCTCATCCTCTGATCACATCACCCTAATTTTATTAAAAGTATTAGCAATTCCCTAAAAGTTTTGTAAAGTGTCCGGCCACCGTAGAGTTTGGTATGGACAGGAGGATACACCAAATATAAATGCGGAATTGATCATGGGGGGACCTTGAACTCCAGCAGAAAGACAGAAATGAATGTTGTCATATGCAGGTTCCACTGCTCCCTCTCCCCCCTCACCCTTTCCCTTTCTCGTCCCTTTATCTTTCTTTGTCCTCTGTCTCTCTCTTCTCTCTGGCTGTTGTGTGATGTAGTAGCCCAGATCTGTTTTTGTTTAATCTTGCCAACTCATTGACAATGACATATGTGTTGGCAAGATTTGACAGTGACACACACTACCAGTCAAACGTTTGGACACACCTTCTCATTCAACGGCTTTTCTTTATTTTTACTATTTTCTACAGTTGATGTTGAAATGTGTCTGTGAAGCATTTATTTGGGCTGCAATTTCTTGAGGCTGGTAACTCTAATGAACTTATCCTCTGCAGCAGAGGTAACTCCGGGTCTTCCATTCCTGTGGCGGTCCTCATGAGAGCCAGTTTCATCATAGTGCTTGATGTTTTTTGCGACTGCACTTGAAGAAACGTTCAAAGTTCTTGAAATGTTCCGTATTGACTGACCTTCATGTCTTAAAGTAATGATGGACTGTCATTTCTCTTTGCTTATTTGAGCTGTTCTTGCCATAATATGGACTTGGTCTTTTACCAAATAGGGCTATCTTCTGTATACCCCCCTACCTTGTCACAAAACAACTGATTGGCTCAAACGCATTAAGAAGGAAAGAAATTCCACAAATTAACTTTTAAGAAGGCACACTTGTTAATTGAAATGCATTCCAGGTGACTACCTCATGAAGCTGGTTGAGAGAATGCCAAGAGTGTGCAAAGCTGTCATCAAGGCAAAGGGTGGCTATTTGAAGAATCTCAAATATAAAATATATTTTGATTTGATTTAACACTTTTTTAGTTACTACATGATTCCATATGTGTTATTTCATAGTTTTGATGTCTTCACTATTATTCTACAATGTAAAAATAAAGAAATATCCTTGAATGAGTTGGTGTGTCCAAACTTTTGACTGGTAGTGTAGGTGTTGGCAAGATGACATACAGTGAGGGAAAAAAGTATTTGATCCCCTGCTGATTTTGTACGTTTGCCCACTGACAAAGAAATGATCAGTCTATAATTGAAATGGTAGGTTTATTTGAACAGTGAGAGACAGAATAACAACAAAAAAATCCAGAAAAACGCATGTCAAAAATGTTGATTTGCATTTTAATGAGGGAAATAAGTATTTGACCCCCTCTCAATCAGAAAGATTTCTGGCTCCCAGGTGTCTTTTATACAGGTAACGAGCTGAAATTGTGCTCCTAGTCTTAAAGGGAGTGCTCCTAATCTGTTTGTTACCTGTATAAAAGACACCTGTCCACAGAAGCAATCAATCAATCAGATTCCAAACTCTCCACCATGGCCAAGGCCAAAGAGCTCTCCAAGGATGTCAGGGACAAGATTGTAGACCTACACAAGGATGGAATGGGCTACAAGACCATCGCCAAGCAGCTTGGTGAGAAGGTGACAACAGTTGGTGCGATTATTCGCAAATGGAAAAAACACAAAATAACTGTCAATCTCCCTCGGCCTGGGGCTCCCTGCAGGATCTCACCTCGTGGAGTTGCAATGATCATGAGAACGGTGAGGAATCAGCCCAGAACTACACGGGAGGATCTTGTCCATGATCTCAAGGCAGCTGGGACCATAGTCACCAAGAAAACAATTGGTAACACAGTACGCCGTGAAGGACTGAAATCCTGCAGCGCCCGCAAGGTCCCCCTGCTCAAGAAAGCACTTATACAGGCCCGTCTGAAGTTTGCCAATGAACATCTGAATGATTCAGAGGAGAACTGGGTGAAAGTGTTGTGGTCAGATTAGACCAAAATCGAGCTCTTTGGCATCAACTCAACTCGCTGTGTTTGGAGGAGGAGGAATGCTGCCTATGACCCCAAGAACACCATCCCCACCGTCAAACATGGAGGTGGAAACATTATGCTTTGGGGGTGTTTTTCTGCTAAGGGGACAGGACGACTTCACCGCATCAAAGGGACGATGGATGGGACCATGTACCATCAAATCTTGGGTGAGAACCTCCTTCCCTCAGCCAGGGCATTGAAAATGGGTTGTGGATGGGTATTCCAGCATGACAATGACCCAAAACACACGGCCAAGGCAACAAAGGAGTGGCTCAAGAAGAAGCACATTAAGGTCCTGGAGTGGCCTAGCCAGTCTCCAGACCTTAATCCCATAGAAAATCTGTGGAGGGAGCTGAAGGTTCGAGTTGCCAAACGTCAGCCTCTAAACCTTAATGACTTGGATATTGTCAGTGGGCAAACGTACAAAATCAGCAGGGGATCAAATACTTTTTTCCCTCACTGTAGGTGTTGGCAAGATTGACAATGACATGGGTGTTGGCAAGATTGACAATGACATAGGTGTTGGCAAGATTGACAATTACATGGGAGTTGGCAAAATTGCACAAACAGATATGGGGTTAAGCTAGTGATGTGGTGTGTATTTGTGAGAACTCAGTGCTTATGTGTTGGTTGGTTCTAAGGGGGCCACATACTCAGAGTTACTGTAGATGTGCTAGCCCGGAGGTCCATCTCCCTTAACCTGTGTCCACCCTAGGGAGTCAGTGGGGAACGACCCGTGAAGGTAAAAGGGAATAGTCTGATAGCCTGGCTGCACTGACGTGTCACACCCTTCTTCCATCCTTGACCTTTACACCATTGTATCACAATTATGATAACACAGTATGATCCCTATCTGTCCTTAGAAATCAGCAAGTCCAATTAATAATTGGCATGGATTGGTATTGATCAATATTTGAATAGCTATACATTTCTGTATTGAATTATATTAAAGTCCCATCTAGAAATGTGCCAAACAGTGCTGTAAGTACTTTAATCAAAGTTCCAGGGAATTTGTATTGGATTTTCCTGCTCTATTTCCAGGTGTGTGGCGTTAACTCAACAACTTGAAACAACCAGTGAAGAAGCCAAAGTGTCCAATTAATTTAGGCATTAATTTCATACAATAATAATGTCATAATTCACTATGTGTGTGTGTGTTACAGTTTGATGAATTTAAGTATTATGGCATACAGTGGACTATTGATTGAAGTGAAGTGATTACCAGAATTCAAAAGCATCTCATTATGTTAACGCTAATGTTTTTAGTAATGTTGTATGTTTATTTATGGTATTAATACTGACTTGACGCAAAAACCATACCAATGCATATCATTATAGCGCTACACAATATTGCTATTCTCAGCCAATATTGAATGTACAGCATTTGAATCTTTAATCTATGGTACATTTATCATATTGTTTCTCAGGGGTGTGTTTAGAAGGGTGAAACCTTCACATGGTTGCAGACTGACAAAGAAGAAGATCTGCTTGAGTTCCTGAACCTAAATATGAACGGAACCTGTTACAGATCCCCCCTGCCGAGGGCGCTGTGTGACTTATTTACAGCGTGTGTGTTGTTGTTCATATCTGGCTGGCGCCACGTAGTCTAGCTCCCCTTCACGTGAGCGATATCGATTACCCCCAGCTCGTCGCTTCAGTCAATCAGACTCTCCCCATGCACCCCACACTCTGTCGATGCACTGATCACGCGTTCTCTGATTGGTCAGATGCTCATAGCTAGCCCTGCACTGGTCAGACAGGTCCGTTGCACGCTCTCGCAAGGGTATAAATATTGCCCTGAGCATGACAGTGTTATCATGGGTGGAGTTTTGTGCATGGGATGCATGAACACAAAGTAAGTTGTAGTTGTTGTTTAACTTGGCTATGATTTTAAAAAGACCCAAGCCGCTAATCATAACAATGCAAGCCTATCGATACACTTTCCTACTCATTCATTACTGCTGCAGTAGTGCTGGTTGTAGCACGAGTGGAAGTAGGAAGAACGCACATTCTATATTCGTTGACAGGAGCTCTCTTGTCATGGTTTTAGACGTTTTTAAATCTTACAGTATCAACTTTGCTGTAGCTTTCTTTTACGCCTGCTACTTTACTGCAGACACGGTAATCTGAGCCATCTGATTGGCCAGCAGTAGGCCTATAGTGCACTTGATTTTCTCTCTGGGCCCGCTGTTTGTACCTTCAGACACATGAAATGGTTCAAAATCGTAACACTTTGCCTACCCGGCGCGCAGGGCAGC